TTTTTTTTAAAAAAAAGTTTTTGTACCTTTTTGTTTCTTTTGTATATTTCTGATTAAAGCTGTTTTCCACCTTGTAACTGAGAATAACCCTCAGGTGGGGAGGAGGACATCTGTAATCTCTGTCTCCTCAGTCCATCTCAGACCCCTAATGGCAACTCTGAACCACTTATCTGGAGCAGTCTGAACTTTTCTTCAGAGTAAGAGGGATTCTTAGACTTAAGAATTTTGATAACTGGCACTCACACCTAAGTCTGAGAGTAGGAGCAAAGCTAAGACATTTTCAGCACTTAAGTCTAAAAATCCACTCTAAGAAGCTTTATAAATATACGGGCCCTGATAAATATCAAGGAGGACGTCATGTTTACATATTTYATACAGTTAGATACTTCTTAGATTGTTTAAGTCTATAAATAACAAGAACATCACGTAACTACATGCCCAGTGCTGGCAGGAGGAGATGTTATCAGTCGAAGTTTTGGCATCCAGTTCTACCTTGTTTTATTCTGCAGCTGTTTGAAAGACATGCTGAACAAGATTTCTCACACTGTTTGTTTACTTCAGGCTGTTTATGTGGTGAGTAAGGACAGTCAGTGTCAAAGATTTAAAACATCTTTCAAACTCTACCAACAAGTTTAGTTATTCTYCAAAGAAATTCTGCAACTTTAAACGTCTTTAGAAACCAGACCAGCACCATGTCCAAATACTGATTCAAGAATAAACAGGAAATGTCTGCAGGTGGAGAAGTATCTGGGTCTTGTTCACCAGGGATGGTAGGAGCTCAGAGCAGAGCTGCTGCTCCTCTGGATCTAAAGGATTCAGCTGAGGAGGTTCATCTGGTCTGGATGACCCAGATCTCAATGGAGAGACTTTGTAGCCTCTCTGATCTGGATACACCTCCAGGTCCTTTAAGACAAAACTGTCTCTGAGGAGAGGGAGGTCTGGGTTTCTCTTCTGCACCTGTTAGCTCRGTGACTCCATAAGTACCAGAAGATGGAGATTACTGATGTTTTGTTTCCCTCCTGATGCTGACTGAGATTCCTGTTCCTGCAGGAAGRTCCTCCTCAGACGCTGAATGTTCTGACTGCAGCAGTGGAACATTTTCTAATGGATCATCAACATCCTGTCAGCCTCACACACAGTAAGACTTTCTTTATGTGGAACAAAGCTCCAACATGTCTGTTCATTTCTCTCTACATGTTGCTGGAAAACTCTCTCTGTCTCCTTCTAGATGTGAAGCATTAAACCTTCAGCTGATAGAAGCAGGAACAGCTTCAGCTGATGCTCGGTGTGGAGGAGAAAGTGCAATGACAGAAAATGGGACTATAATTACTTTCATTATCCTTTTCATGATGATTAACTTTGTATTTTATTTCTACAAAATCATAATGACATTAAGATCAGGTAACATATTTTCCTTCTAAAAAGTGTGTTATATATTTTTTCCTTGTGATGATACTTAAGTTGTTGTTTTGTTTGTTGTTTTTCACGGAATTTAAATTTTACAAAAATGCATCAAACCAAGCTCATCAAACGGTTTCCGTGGTACGTTAGTTTTATTTTATTTTGCTTACATTATTAAAACTTAAATGTTTTTGATGTTTTCTTAATGTTTTTCTTAATATTTTGCCCATAAGGAAAGTTCAGTATCGACATCACAGACTTCAGATGTTGAAGACCAGAGAAATCAGAAGACCTTTCAACAGGTAAAACAAGTTTACACATGTTCTCTGATCATGCAAATATTCAGAAAGTTACAACTCATGACAGGGAGTCATGCAACCCTGGGAACGAGCTTAGAGAGATAAAAGAAACGCAAGTGTTGGATGTTTGATTTTAATTACCTGGCAGAAAAACAGGTTATCACAGTGGGTCTGTTAAAACTCTCCTCACAGATATTTATATTCTTGTTGCAGTATTTTGAAAAGATACAGTAAATATTGGGTAGATTTACACACAGCTGAAGTCACTTTGTTTTCCTTCACAGAGTGAAACYACAGTTGAACATCAGGATTCAGTGGAGAAATATCAGCAGCCTGAAGTTGTTCCATTACTGCCCCCTGCAACAACTTCATGATGGAAGTTCTGAGACTTCTGTCTCAAGTCCATTAGACTCAKATCCAGGGCCTAACTTAAGGTCTACCTGTGGAGATAAAGATCTAACTGTAAGCTGTGGAAAAGTAAAAATATCTGATAGTTTTATGCGACTTTAATCAAATGTATTTTTTAATACCACTTTTTACAGTTTTGTTTTTATTCCCCCAATTTATTTGGTTTATTAAATTAGTTTTTCAGTTAATTTAATGTTTTTAGAGCTAGTTAATAAGTTATAATAAGTTAATAAAACTTGCAAATTAAACTTTCTAAAAACGATTCAAAGCCTTTTGTATTCATTTATTCATATATTTATTAAGACAACTTTGACAACAAAATATCCAAAAAGGCTGACAATTATTGCAGTTTGTGAATCAGAATAACCGAAGAAACAAATAAAAATGAATCCAGGGTCAAAGTGCAGAAAGAGGAAAGTTTTCAGTGCTTCAAGAACTCATGACATGGAGGGAAAATGAATTCACAAATATTCAAAAGCACAAGTTTTACAATATAACTGTACAAAATATACAAAGCATTTTATGAAAACAGTAAAAATATATTCTGACAAATATTAAACGTATTGGAGACATTAGCATCACAACTTTAGACAAAAACAAACATGAACACAATGCCACCCTGTGGCTGAAAATGGTTTTTACACATAAATAAAATATAARGTTAAAAAAAGTACAGATGATTCCCTTCTGATCTACAGATAAAAATTAAAGGAACATTCCTGAATCTGTTTTCCACCATTTTATCAATAACAGATATCTTCTCTAAACAAATGTCTCCGTTTCAACTCCTGTAACTTGTGGTGTTCCACAGGGATCAGTCTTTGGGCCTTTGTTATTCTCCCAGACGTTCCTTCTGGCTCAGATWACTGAGAGTTTTAACATTCCTTATCATCCTGTTGCTGATGATATCCAGCTTGTTTTTTTTTTTTTTTATTTAAAGGCAAATAAAATCAATTTTCTATATTAGTTCATATTTGTCAATGTTCCTCTAAACACTGACTGTTCCACAAGTAKACAAACAATATGAAAACATGATGCTCATTTTTTATAAAATGTTCAATTTAAAACACTTATTTGTGAAGTTAAGAAAAGAAAACAGAGCTCTTTGGATGATTTAGTTTTGGCCTCAAAAAAACAAACAAACCACTTAACAGAGACCAGACTTAGGTAAACGATAAATAGTAAACAAACAAGAATACCATGGACCCACTTTAGAGTTTTCATGGAGTTTAGCAGCTCCATGAAAACTAAAGTGGTACGTTCCCTCATGTTGAGGCACAAAGTTAAGCTTGTTTAAGCTTTCCATCTGAAAGAGCAGTTTGTGAAGGCACACAAACGTTAGCTACAGCTCCATTAAATGCTATATTTTAAATAAATTCATGTAAAGTTACACAACGGTTGGTAACATTTGGCTCAAGTTACAAACAGCTCCCGTACATAAAACACACAATAAGAAAATAGACYTTATCATGTAAAGATTCATTTTCTTTGTTTCACAACTGAGGAATGAGTGAAATGTGCTTAATGTCCTCTCAGATTATTTTTACTGTGTGTGTGGGCACGTTTTTCCTACATCGTGGGAACCATTTTCCAGGAAAAAAAGCCTCGTGGGGACAAATCCCCGGTCCCCACGGGTCCAAATGCAAATTACGGGTGGGCAGGTTGGGTTTAGGACCAAGGTGTGAATTGGGTTTAAGTTAGGTTTAGGGTCAGGTAGGTACCTGTGAGGTTAATTTTAGGGTAAACGGTCAGGGTTAGGCTAAACAATTACCAGAAAATGAATGGAAGTCAATCCATGGTCCCCACGAGGATATAAAATTGAACCTGTGTGTGTGTTGATAAAGTGTCTCTCCCTCAGTCTGCATGAAGCTGGTCAGTATAAAACACTACATATGGATTTCATCTCATAAAAAAGACTCATTCAGAGTCAGAGTTTTCACTATTTTTAAGTTACTTATAAATTCTCTGGATTAAAAAGATCTAATGCAAAAAACATGATTTGAAAAATAAAAATATTGGATTATGATTTGGGCAGCCATGTTTGACATCAGGCTGCAGTCAAAACATTCTGATCCAGAAATAAAATAAAACTGAAAAACAAAACAATAAAAACCATCAAGATTTGTCCTGGCTGAACAAAAGTTCTGTTACTTTCTGCCAAAAACGTTCATTTTCTCTTCTCAGTCTCTTATTTATTTCAACCATTACCCGCAGAATACACCAGAAAATGGCAACAAAAAATAATATACGTAAGAAAATGCTGAACACAGCTCCCACATCTGAACCTTTTCCAGAACACTCTGCATCGGCTGAAGCTGATCCTGCTTTCATCAGAGTTTCACATCTGCAGAGACAGAGAGACATTTTTACACATGAAACCAATTCACTGCTGCTGTTTTAAAATCTAACTTACTGTGTGTGAGGCTGACAGGATGGAAACGTCCCATCTGAGAACGTCCCTCTGCTGCAGTTAGAACATTCAGTGTCTGAGAGCCCAGTTCCTGCAACAAAATGTTTATCAACAGGTTATTACAGTATGTGTTAGATACAGTATTTATTCAGCAAACTAGATGAGTCTCCATCCATCCATCCATCCATCCATCCATCCATCTTCTTCCGCCTATCCGGGGTCGGGTC